AGAACATTAAAAAGAAAGTCCTACACAGCGCAGCCGATCCGACCCTGATGCGAGACCGTCGCGAAATCATTCCAAAACCGCCGTCCCAAAGCTTGATGACAAGCTTCAAAAACGCACTTGGCAAGAAAAAAACACAGGCATTCGCGCAGCGCCTATCTCTCAAAAACGCATTTCTTGCGAGACTTCCTCAAACTGTAGCATCTCAAAGCTTCAAAATGGGCATTTCGTACGAGACTTCCTCCAATAATGAAAGTGCAGCTGTCACTTGTGCTGATGCTACTGATGCTGCGCGGTTGCTATATACTTGCACTTTCACTACTGTGCAACTGTTACTGCAAGTGTTACTTCCACTAGTTGTTCCTGTGCTCCTGTTACTGGGGATACTATCACCGTGCAACTGTGACTATTACCACTGTTACCCTGCAACTGTTACTTATGCTATGGCGACGGTGACTTGTGCAACAGCTCTTACTATGCAAAGGTGACTTACTCTGCTGCTACTGTGGAACGGTGACTCATGCGTACGCTACTGATACTGTGCAATGGTGGCTTACGCTACTGTTACCGTACCAGTGGCACTGCTAATTACTTACTATCTACTTAAATATCCGTACCATGGAAGTTTCTCCTCGACTCTAAAGTGCCGCGGATAACTTAGCGACAACACACTGGAAGGACTTGGTGCACTCGGTGCAGCCGATGCTTTCAGTGAGCTTGCGCTCTAACAGGACATGAAGCCAAAGGAAATTTAGGGAGCCTAAACGTACAGAAAACTCAAGGAAATGCAAGGGAACTATATAACATTCTGGCTCGCTCATGTACACCAAAACGTGGAAGCCACCGAATCCTCGTAAGTAACCAAGCCGCCGCCAATGCAACTATATAACCGTAACAAACATCACTGCCATCAATGAATTAGGAATGTAGAAGAACATATATATATATATATGACTAAATTCGATTTGAACTTGATGTCTTGGGAAAACCGTGTCCAGCGACCGAGTTCACGTTATTTCTTTGGGGCCTCCATGGGCACCTACATCAGTTCCGAGGTATCAGAAGCGAGGTCCATTGCCGTGGCACCCCCCACCTCAACATATTGGAAGTGAGCTTGTTAGATTCCTGATTTTCTCTCTATACAGTATGGTGGCCATGAGCATGGCTGCTCCTTGATTCATGGCACTAGGGAGCCCAATCCAACTAGCAAATATATTATATTATTATATTATTTATGTATATCTACAGTATATATTTGTTTTTTGGAAATGCTTCGGCACTGGAGCTCCCTAAAATCGCGGCAGCACAACTACCAAAAGAGATGGGCCTCCCTAAAATTCACTTGATGCCGACCACCAACAGCCAACTGCCCAAACTCATAGCTCCAGTATCGAGGACCACTCACAAAATGACAAGAAGCATGCTAGCCACCAAAAAGCAAAATCCCAAACGGCACAAACATTCGGCATTTGGGAAGCTGGAGGGGCCATCAGTCCCCTTACTCTTTCTCAAAGGGGGCCGCCCAAAAAGCCAAACTATGGGCCAGAAAAACCTTAAATTAGCCAATAGCTTTGGAACTCTGCTTGGCTTGGTCTGACAAGGAGACTTCCTCCTGACTGCGGGCTCGACAATTCGGATCCACAGCTGACTGCTAGGCAATTAAATTGTGCCGAGTGGCCGGCATTGCCATGTACTAATATCCGACCTCCTCGTGCTAGAACTCCGTCAAGGAGCTGCTTGACATTGGGGAAGAACCGGATGATGTTCTCAAATGGATTGTCACCTTGTGCGACGGTACTAAGCACGAGCAGCAAGCAGGTGCTATGAACGCTCGCACTTCCATTTGGCCAAGGTGCGGCATTCCAGCACCTGTGGAGAGAGAAAGCCGCAGTGGGGTACATTGGAGGCATGGAAAAGCTGCACATGACAGGGTTACTAGCAAAGTTGCCCCTTGCACTACCTGCGCTGTGCATCAAAGCAATCACTTAGGGCTGAAAGCCTCATAGTGGATGAAGTCGGGGTACTTTGGACAAATGATTCCTGACATTGAGAATGGAGAGCGCGTGGCAGTGTTTCCGGAGTAGAAACCAAGCCCACAAAAACCAACAAGCAAAACCAGCTGTGCTGATATGCCGAAGAGCTGGCTTCTTCCGGCGCTCGGACCACCAGGGCATCTGTGATGTGCACCCGTTTCAGAAACTCCTCTCGACGGAAACAATGAAGATATGCCAGGTTGTTTTAAAGCACACACAATATATCTATATATATATGTGTGTGTGAACCAATATCTCACTCGTGATTTCTTCATTTTCTTGCTAACTTCTCTAGTCTTGTCTTACCACATAACTTGCATTTCTTAACAAAAACAAGCAACCTTCAGGACTTTGTATCGAACCTGGTCCCGGGCTGCCCCGAAAGGGCCAAGCCAGAGACCCGGGATGATCTCCTGGGCCTCACGCCTTAGAACGCAAACACGCTGTTGAGAAAAAAAGGAATTCATGGGAATTCTGCTGATTCATTGTTTTCTCATGCATTATACAAGCACATTCGTGCGTTCTCTTCTCATCTGATGGTTCTCTCTTCTCATCCCTTCTGCCGAACATTCTTCTCGGGTCCCAGGTCATTCTTCTTGCAATTGCTAAAGATCTAAACAGTACTGTGATGTTTTGCCGTTTCCCCACGCAGCTGACGAAAGAATTGCAGGACAGCCAGGCTGCTTCTTGGTGTAAACCCAGTCGGTGTCTGGTTGAAGCAAACCCTGCACCCCGGCAAGCACTGTTGCATACATGCCACTCCTGCTGCCACGAAAAACCTTCAGCTTGCAAACCGGAAGAACAAAAAAATAGTCCAAAGGCCTCAACAACCAAGAACCACGGAAAATGGCTCCTTGAATGCACATCGCCGCTAGGCCATGGGCACCCAACACCCGGAAGAACAGCTGAGCAAAAAATAGTGCGGGTCACCGTCCTCTGTCATCGTCGCAAAATCCTTGACATGTACATACTTGCGGTTGGGTACGTCGAGTGCACGTTAATGCATCAGTTAGGGGGTCCTGACCGTGCTTTGAATGAGATCAATTGAGTCAACTTGCACACGAAAAGGACAGGAGCTTACAAACTTGTGCTCATGAGGCAACTCGGGCAAAACCCGACCAATTGCAAAATTTTGCCATTGAGAGCACACCTCGCCCGTGTAGCAAATCTTTACTACTAGTAGTGCTGGAATAAATGAACGGACCCAATCGATCTACAAAGCCATTCTACAAAAATAGTGCGGGCACCGTCAGCCTTCTTGGCTCCATTTGCACTGGGACATCTGTCCACGCAGCTTTTCTGGCTCACTAGCATGCACAGCAGGGTGCCCCTCGCACCAGCCTCAAAAGGAGAACGAATTCCATCGACTACCTCTGCCAAAGCAGCCTTCAGCTCAAAGTACATAGTCTTTGAGTCTTTTGGTTTAGCTTGCGTTCTTCTTCCACATTCGTTCACGGCCGCCCTGTGTATGTGTATCGTAGATTGATGTGGATTGTGTGGAGGGGGGAGTTTTGCATGCGCATTGCCCACGAATTGCACTCTTTAGTCCTAGCCTAGCCATAGCCTAGCAAGCATGCATCACAAAAGCTCAGGCCTTCTGGGAAAAATTAGGACCAGAGATTGAGCTGGATAGTCTGCAACCTCTATCCTATCGCCACCTTACTGCAAACAATATTGGGAAGAGCTGGCATCCAAATTGCTCATCATGTAGGTGGTAGCTACTTTGCTGAGAGAGGCACAGCAGTGCAGAGGTCGTGTCTACTCTCTTACATGCCTTCGGCGACCAACAGCCACACATGTGCAAAAGCACCAGGAAGCACGTCTGAAGCAAGTGCATTTCCGCAACGTCTCAGAACGTTCCATTTGTGCAAAGCTGAAAGTGAATGTGCCACTTGTTTATTCCAGTGGGACAAGGTTAGGAACCAGCACACATATTGCACGCGTCTTTACCACCACGCTCGAAACACCCAGTCCTTTCCAAATGACCTCCTGCCGAGCACTGTGGCTGAGGCTACTGGTCGGTGGAGGATGCTGGAGTAAGAAAGTGGGTCAGCACTCGAGGCGTGATCACACGTGCATATGTGAGGAGCACCGCTCAAAATGAAATCCGGACACATCAGCACCTCAGGTGCTAATGAGTTTGATGCACCTTGAATTCTTCTGGACATTCGGGACACCTGGCAATCTCATCCCCCTAGCCAGTGACAAACAAGGGGGTGTTGTAAATGATATATGCATGTAGAATCAGTCTGCATTGGAACAAGTCCGTAGTGCCAAAAGATTGGTGATTGCCCATGTCCAGCCATGGTACATAAATATTCTTGTTGCGAACCCAGCTGCACTGGAATGCTGCGCAGCTTATTTCGGCTGGGATGCACTTCTTGTGAGTCAGCATTGCAGTCCCATGCGGAAGTTGAAACGGCTTCGGTTCGAAGCGAGTACTTCACAAACCAGCTGGTAAAGGCAAGCGAAAGCAGGCAAAGCCCGCTCACAAAAGAGTTCTCTAAGGGAAAACATCTGTGCGAACAGCGCATGCTTAGGGTGCTTTGAAGGTGCTTAAGCAGTGTTTTGGCATGATTTGGCTTCATGCTTTGAAATGAGGATGACTCATATATCATATATCATAATTACATATTATAACTATTTATAATTATGATATATGACATCCTGCGTCGCCATCTCTCCGATGTCCACTTCAGAGTGCCTACAGCTCTACTCATGCTGTGTGAATTGAATTTGTAGGGGATGTTGGACAAAGCTTGGTGCAAACGACATGGCTCCGCAAAGTATTGAACACTCGCACCTCACATGGGGCTGTTGCAACTGTACATGGGAGTGGTCATGCATTGCTCCTGTGCATGGCCATCAAACGGATTTGCATTGCAAATGCTAGGCTTAAAGAACAGTCTACACAGGTTTGGTCGCTACGTCTTCAAAAACAATCCGGTCTGCTGCCAGCCGTCAGCCGCCCTATTCAGAATCGTCAGGCTCACTGCTCGCCACACTCCTGCCAGCCAAGCTGTTTAGCAGCAAGCGGCCATACCTCGATTCACAACAATCTTCAGCGCTCGGCTGCTCACAAGGCTTTCAACAAAAACGTACATTTGCGTACAGAAATACCTGATTCGAGTCTCGTGTGCATGTTGGGACTGCGTTTGGACATCCTGCCTTGATGCGCGCAGCTCCTCTGAAGGCGCCATCAGCTCACGTGTCAAGAAGCTGCGGCTGGGTTCACTCAAAGCGCTGAAGACCAGCTGCCTCACGACCATGAACAGGACTTGCCGGACTTACCGCAAACGGCATTTGGTGGCCTTTGATGAAATGAAGACTTGTACCTTGTTCAAACGCTAGCTTGAAGTCAACAAAGCCTCCGTTTTTCTCAAGTGTTCCTTTGCTGTCGAGCGTCAGCTGACCCGGAGCCCATTGAACAAAAGGAACTTCAGCAGGCATGTTGCGCAAATAATGCTCTTGCAGCACGCGGCAGGATGAGCTTACGCTGCATGATTTTACTTTATGTGTGTCCCGCTGAGCTTACGCAACGACCTGCACGAGTTCATTATGCATCACGACAGATTGTGTGTGTGCGCAAATTCTGCAACCATGAGTTTCACATCGCTCCATTCCATCTGTTTAGCTATGCATTTTAGCTATGCACGAGTTCATTATGCATCTGTTTAGCTGCGGACACTTGGAATGGCTGTCCTCTTGGTTGGTGTGTAAATATGTACTGTATATCATATATCCTATATATATGTATATAATTATGCAAAAGCGTCAGATGGCCAACTAACGTGCAAGCTGACGGCATGACTGGGTTCGAATCAAGAATTTGCCAAGCTGCGCCACCGCATGGCCGTACCGGCTCCTTGCAATGGATAGGACCAAGCCAGACTCTGTTGCCATGGCATGAGCCAAGTGTGCTTGCTCCTAGTCACAAGACTGGCCAAAAAGTGATACATAGTTTGCTAATTTCCGCAAACAAACAGAGCCGACCTCAAACCCAAGTTGCAGGCTGCAAACATTCTACTGCATTATTCTACCCAGCTGCTACTCCTGTATTATATTAGTAGCAGCATGCTGCATCGATGAACCGATGGGTATTCGCGCCTGCTTTGAAGCATTCATCATGGCCTTTAATAGCACAGCACCGCCGTTGCAGTCGGAAGCAACTAGGACCACCTTGGAAAAAGAGGTTTCGGTTGAATCGTCTGGGTTTCAACCGCCTGAATTTCAAAGCAATCATTGCCTAGTTTTCTGCAGGTTAGAGGTTCACAGGTGGAGCAATACTACTTTTGACTGGGCCACCCTAACCGGACAAATGCAATAGCTACAGCTAAGTTTAACAAAGGCTACCAACAGGGGAAGTAGGTACAGCCCTCCCCAAAGCAGCAAGGCAGCGCAAACTTCTCTGCGATGCGTATGGGTCAAAAAGCGGTACGTATGGGACAAAAAGCGGTATGGCCAACCAACCGGATCCAACCGGCGCCAGGAGAGAACATCGAGCACCTAACCAACCACCACATGGGCAGAGCTTATGCCCAAAACATGCACCCAGCCAATTTCCCCAAACATACGGCTTTGGTGCCCGAGGTTCTCCTTGCACCGGTTGGTTGACCACTCTGTGTCCCAGACGCATCGCAGAAAAGTGTGCGCTTCCTTGCCCTTGCTGCTTTGGGGAGGGTTGCACCTTCTTCCCCTGATAGCCTTTGTTAAACTTAGCTATTGCATCGGGATGTGCTTAGCAATTGTTAAGAAGGGCGAAGCACCAAACCCAACCGGAAGTAAGACTCACATTAGCAGTACATTGCCCCCTGCACACCGGACACGCCGCTTTTTTAACTCGCAACCCTGGAGTGGGGAGAAATGCGACCCGGACCAGCACAGCAAACCAGCCGTGCAAGGGTAAAGGGAGGAACCCAACCACCCACAAACTTACCTAAAAGGTCGCAACGAATAGGCACCCCACCCAGCGGCGATTGCGATCCCTTTTCTTTCATAACCATGGCTCTTTCACGCGCAAAGTGTCCACTTTGCGTACTTTGGCTCTGGGCGAACTGGTCCTCTGCCATGGCTTGCTGTTTTAAATCTCAGTGTACAGCTCGGTCCCGGCTGTAAGCATTTCGCCCATAACCAGCCCTTTGAAATCTTGCAGATCAAATCTTATCCGCCTGCACGGGTCTAACCTTGTCGTGTCGTTATTCGTCAGAGCATCTGCCTCTACATTCTGCAGGCGTGGGAGCCAGTGCAATTCCAAGTTCAGTCTTCTCACATGCAATTGCAATGCTAGTTCCATCAGAAGGGAAATTTCGCCGTCAATAATCTAGACACCACAAATGAATTGCCCTTGTTGTCAGTACCTACAGAGCAAGAAATACGTCCAGCATCAGCCTTTCCCAACCCAAATGCCACCACTGCAGCCAGAGTTGAAAGCAGCTCGAGCGATGCAATGTGTCTGTATGACCGCGGCGTAAAGCCACGGCGCCTTCTCGTGAGTGATCTTCTCTGCAAACCAACGGCACTTCATTGCGCCCATCCCCTATCCAAAATTCGCTCCCCTCGGCACGGGCATCAGTCCTGAAACTTTCTTTTGCCAGCCCCTTGGTCCGGACAGGCGTCAGCCTCCCATCACCAGCTAGCGCTTTGGCCAGGAACAACATGCAGTGACCCAAGCATACATCGGCCCTAGGAACGGGCGCAAGTGTCACAAAGCAAAGGAAAGCCTTCCCAACGCTGCGCACATGTCTGCTATACGCACTGTTCCAGCCGATACACAATCTTGCAACCATTTCGCAACGCAGGCTGCACGCGCAACTGGGAGCCCCAATAAGTTGCCCTTCAAATCCAATAAAAAGCCCACCCAGCATACCTCCAGCCCTCCGCAGATCCCAAAATCACCTAGAAATAGACTGAGATCACTATCTTTTCGACGCCACCCATCTCTTGGGTAAGCCAGAAGAGATCATCTACAGTATACCAACAGCGCCATTTCGGCACGCCCCCACATATAATAGACCAGCCGGCCCAACCCCGACATGAGCCGACCCCAGTGGTACGCAGCGCTGCTGACACCAAAGGTTCCAACCTTGTTTAGCCACAGCCACTGGTCGCCTCGCGCGCCAGAACGGCATGCCTGCAAGCCCCAATCTCTCTCTGCCACCTTCACCAAGCGAAGCGCCCGTTTGACATCGCCAGTCAAAGCGAAGAACGACCCAGGAAGCAATTGCATCAAAGTACGAAGGTCCCCAGCAGTCGGATTCCTCAATTGGTCTCGCGCTCGTATTTAGTGAGTTCACATCCAGCCCATGGGTCCCATCGTGAATGACTCAGTAGCTACCGTCTTTCTTCTCAATGGCCCCTGAGGACGCTACTGCCAAGTTGTCAAACTTGGCTCGCGCCTCCTCCAAGCCGATCTCGATCATGGCGCCCAACTCTGCTTCATTCTTAAACTGCTTTTGTATCACTGAAGATTGCTGCTTCGCGGTGATATAGTTTTCACGCAGATGAACTTCAGCCAAGTCATCCACATATTTTTTCCATGTGGTTTTCCGCTCAAACACAGCTGGCACCCTTGGCAACTTTGCTCCGACACCCAGGCGGATCCCTTTGGCAAACGAATTGGTGGCTGAAGAATATGCTTTATGATCTGGGCCACCTGAGATCCTCAAGAGTTGTCAATGGCCCTATCTATAAATAAAATGGCTGATCGGGCGCCCGTGTCCGCACATCCAGCTTTGCGCCGGCCACCTTCTTCAACAGCCGCCCTAGGGAAAGGGCAGCCGTTGACTTTGCCAGCCGCAAGCTTCATTGCTAGCAACCTCACGTCGCAGAAGCTTTGGAGCTTCTTTTCCAGTTCTGTGCCCGACGCTTCCAAAAAGCCAAGGGATGGTGTGTCACTTGCGCTGCGCCGCATATAAGGCATCCAGCGCCCCGGCGAGCAAAGCCCAAAGCCATCGGAAAATGCCCTTTGCTTGCCCATGAGCATTGAAGTCAGGGGCGGCCCATGGCCCCAAAGCCCAGAGCCCAGCTTTGGCTTGGGGTCACCATCTTTATCTTCCATCGGAACTTGCGTCTGCATCCAAAGATTTGGTGACCTTGGTGTTTTCAATTTCCTCCCACACTGATGCTCCAGTCTTTTCCCATTTCCATTCCTCAGCTTCCTCCACTGAAGACTCCATCCGCGAGGAATCCTCTGTCTCCATGCTTCTGAAGATAGTCACGCACTGGCCGCTTGCTTTTCTCGTGAGAAGCCTCTGACAAGGTGCGGCGTCGTTCCGACCATCAGCCCTCGAGAGCTCCAACCTCCTACGCATTCCGGCCACTTTTGCCGGTAGGGGTTTAAAAGGGAGCTGGAATGCGCGCAACACGGGGGAGGTACTCCAGGTGCTTCACGAGCGGCGAAAACAAAGCGGCGGCTGTCCGAATCCTCAACTAGACTGGCGCGGACAATCGGTTCATGAGACTGTCTGCCGCAAGTTCCTGTAAGTGCTGCTGGAGTGTGCTCCTGGGTGCGGATGCGCATCCACCACATAATGTTGTCTATGGATTCACCAGCATGGTAAGCCTTGATGGCTCCCCCACCTCGAATAGAAGCAGGTGTCGGGCGCCGATCGACTGGTAGCGCTTGCCGAAAAAAGGAAACAATGCAAGCGAAGAGTCGAGGGGACCAAAAACTCGAAGGAGGAGCTGCACAGCAGCAGCATCAGCCAGCTTCAGATGTTGGACCCCCCCACCCCGCCTGCGCGTCTTTGGCTGACGGATTTTAAAAAAGGCAACACTGGTCCGCTCGTCAAAAAGCTCATCAGGCAGAAAAAGGTCACACCGAAGAGCTCCAAGAACTTCAGAAAGCCGGGCGATGCCCCCAAATCCCAAAACCAAAGTAGCTGCCCACCGATCCCAGCCCCGCATCAAGGCCCAGGCCACCATAGCCCCTATAGAGCATTTCGCGCAGAGGTTGTCGATGGACGAGGGGTTGGAGTCATTCCCAGCGTGTAACCAGTTGCCAAGCGGGAGACATTTGTGGCTTTAAGGCCGGGTAGCGCTGTTGCGCAACCACTAAAGAATGTCAAAGCTCATAGAGGTTGCGCCCGCTGCTAAATAAATGAATTCCACAAAAACCTGTCTAATTGTTTCAGGGCTCAGCTGCTCAGCCAACCATTTTTCAAAGGCAGCCCAGATTCGTTGTTGCAAGGCCAGAGTCGGGGGCTCAACCAGGGGAACTTGTAGTAGGGCTTCAGGGTCACGAGGTGCAACAAAACTACGCTGAGGGCCAGGATGGAGGGCTTCCCCAATTCGCAGTGAAGAACACCGCGCGCAACCACTAATGTCCAGTTTTAGTCCACGCGGAAAAAGACCTGCTGTGTGTCCCAAAGCATCAACCAAATCCTTCACTAAACGACGGGGATAGACCTGAGCAAGGTGAGTCCAGGACGTCCCATGAGCTGCGCTTCTCCCTTTCAAAACCAAATGACTGTGCCCTCCCATACAGAGATGTCTATGCCCTGCCAAACATGTAGAGGTAGCTATGCGCGTGCGCTTGCGCTATGGGGTTGTAGGTGCACATGTCGAAGCGAAACGTCTGATCACCACGTCCAACACCAGCAAGGCTCCAATTGGGTAGCAACCACAGGAAGGAGGCGTCAGCACTTTCTACCCAATAAGGAACCGACAAACTTTTGCGGAGTAAAACGGCTTCCAAAACAAATTGCGCACGCATGAATGTTTTCTTGCTGCAGTTTCTCTTTCATCCGTCCACTGACATGTGGAAGGCCTTCTGGCAGTTGTGAGCTACGTACCGCAGGACAAACTGCACGAGACAGGCTGCCGCAACAGGCGCAGCTCATACCCAGAAAAGCCTGTTGGCAAATTAAAGAAAGAAGAAAGATCCTGTAACTGTTTTGAAAGCAGATTTTGTTCGGCTTCATGGGCGTAGTCCACGGTGCACACCCAGCAGTGGAACCGCTTGGCCAGCTGTCTGGCTACCCCGGCTCGACCACTATATAAATCCAGAAAGCCTTTTCGCGCAAAACATAGATCATGCGCTCCTCTAGCCCGACCTCCCCCAGGTAATGGAAAACATCGGTACGGTAACCTTTGTAGAAGGAGTAGAGTTTCCGCTTCAAGTAGAGGTAGTCGAGGGTTTTCCCTGGCACGCTCGAATCTACTTTCTACTACTGGGAGCT